GTAGCTGGAGTGGCAGGGAGAGGGGATCATAGGATGAGAGATGGGATGGAGTGGGAGTGAGCTCACAGAGGGTCCTGTGGGCATTGGGGAAATGGGACATTTTATTTGGAGTGAGCAGAGGAGGAACAAGATTGTACCATTTTAAAAGGATCCTTCTGGCTCCCGTGTAAACAAAACACTTTAGAGAGGAAGAGCGGGCACAGAGTGACCTGTTGATGAACTATGGGGCCTGTCAGGGGGCAGCAGGGCAGTAGCAAGGACTGGTAAGATGGAAGGCTTTGCCAGCAGGTGCAGCTGAAGAAAAGAAGGCAGAGAACTGGGGAAGTCAGGGAGGGGGTGCTGTTGATAGGCGACCAGCAGGTGCTCTGCAGGAGGAAAGTGCTGGACTTATCTGTGACTGCCTACGTTTGAGAGGCCTGTGAGACTCCCGAGTGGAGATCCGGAGCTGGCTTTCAGGCAGAGGCCAGGGCTGGAAAAATGTGTTCAGCAGTCTCAGCCCAGGCATGGTATGTAAAGCACAGAACCTGGCTTTGTTTGTAAAAACACTGCTCATAATAGCCAAATGTGGGAAATACCCATCCATCAGGAAATTCACCTGCTACTGTGTCATTCGATGGAATATTTAACCACCTGGTTAAAAAACGTAAGTCATTGCTTTCACTCGTTATACACTTGCAGCTTTGCTGCCAAGGAAAAGAAAAGTTAGAAGCAATACTGTGTTACCTCCACCAATGAGTTCATAATATGTAAGGCCTCTTCCAGCAAGACACCTCTTGGGGCCTACAGCAGTCCAGGGCCAAAGGAAACAGAAATTCCTTTTATTGAAACCACCATATTTGAGCAGTGTAGGATAAGTAAGCTTCACTGTGGGAAGCATTGTCTTACCCATGTTGGCTCCCCACTCAAGCTCACTCACTCCTAAGACCTCCTGTTCTTCAGAAAATCTTGGGAAAAGAGCGCCAGGATGTCTTAGGAGCTGGTGTTCAGGCTGGATAGGTGAGCTTCTCTCCCACTGGGTCAGCACCACCTAAGCACAGCCATCACAGTTTATCGGAGGATTTTGCCTTCTGCAGTTTCAGTTACCTATGGTCAACCTCAGTCCAAATATACTACATGGAAACTTTCTGAAATTTACAATTCATAAGTTTTAAATTACACGCCATTCTGAGTAGTGTGATAGAATCTCATGCCATCTTGTCTAATCCATCTCAGGATGTGAATCCTCCCTCTGTCCTGAGTACTTGCACTGCATATGGCCCCATAGTTCATACCTGCCTGCTACTCACTTAGTATCTGACTCAGTTATCAGATCAAGAAAACATAGTATGTGTAGGATTCAGTGCTGTTTGTGGCTCCAGGCATCCACTGGGGCGCTTGGATGGAACATACCCCCCCAGATAAGGGGGAAGTACTGTATAGAAAAGGACTTTCCATATCTTGGTCCAGGGAGTACCAGAAGGCGCCTGATCACGGATACTATTAAGATGATAAATTACACGAAGTACATGCCTTCTGTAGGTAGTCATATGCCTGATTTTAGCATCATCTATGCCTAATTTGAGCATCATTTGGTAGCTACTTTTGTGACCCAAACAGTCCATTTGGAACTGTCTTAACACATACATAAGGTTGTAGGGGATGGGAGTCACCCGGTAGTAATGAAAGTTCCAGTGTAAAAAGAAAATGGTATGTTAGAATGCAGCAAAGCCTGACTTGTTGACAGCTGCATCCCAACAGGTACCAGCAGTCATCGCCTAGGTCTCCTACCGGTCCTGCCTGTTAGCTGTAATTTACCAACTTCATGAAACATGGCTCTTCTTCCACCCTTATCTCTGAAATGGTGGTGGTGGTGGTGTTGGTTACCATCCAACTTAATGACTTGGGTCAGAGAGCTTGTGTCCTTTGGTTGGATTAATTATAGAAGCCATGGATTCTTGACATCAGAGAGACAAATATAGATTCTCTTTAGAATTATTCTAGATTAACCACACATACATGCAAGAATGGAGAAGCAGGAATCAGCATGGAAAAAGACAGACAATAACAGCAGCAAAGGACTTGAACCCATCACAGTAAAATTTTATAGAAGACTTTCTGGGACGAGTTCTGTCCCTGATGGTCCCCAGAAGCTGTGCCTGCAGCCACAACACTACAAGGCCTGCTCATACACATACATCTAGGAGCCTCTGTGTGGGAACTTGGAAGTTTAACAGCCCAAATAAGAACATTCACACCCAGAATTTCTTGCTACTGTGCCCAGTGGTAGAGGCCAATCTTCCTAAGTTAACCCCTCTACATGGCCTAGGAGAGGAAGAATAAAAACAGAGCAGGTGGGAGAAAGTCCTGCCACTGGCTCCTTCATGGAGGAAGTCATCCCAGTAGGGACGCTGATAAGATGGAGCAGAGCATGCTTACAGCTGGGCTGCTGGAAGGACGAAGCTAGACCCTTCGTCCCTGCCTGCACTGTCATCCGAGAGGCGGGACCTACTCACATGTGGTGAAAGGAGGGCTGATGGATAAAGACAGCTGCAAATTCCTTAACATTCTTTCCTTGAAGGGTATATGTGGCTTCCTTCCCCTTGAGTCTGAGCAGGCTGTGACAGCTTTTTTTTTTTTTTTTTTTTTTAGATAGAGTCTCACTCTGTCTGTCACCAGGCCTGAGTGGAGTGGTGAAATCTCCACTCACTGCAACCTCTGCCTCCCAGGTTCAAGTGATTCTCCTGCCTCAGACTCTTGGGTAGCTAGGATTACAGGTGTGCGCCATCACACCCAGCTAATTTTTGTATTTTTAGTAGAGATGGGGTTTCACCATGTTGGCCAGGCTGCTCTCGATCTCCTCACCACGTGATCTGCCTGCCTCAGCCTCTCAAAGTGCTGAGATTACAGGCATGAGCCACCATGCCTGGCTGACAGCTGTGACTAGTAAATCTATGGTGGAAGCAAAGCTGATCATGGCCTTTCAGAGCTCTAGAAGCATCTACTCTGGGTCTCATGGAACCTAAAGCTGCCATGTAGAAAGCCCTACTTCCCTGAGTTCAAGATGACAGGGCCACTTCAGAAAGTCTCTGAGACTCCATGGAAGGGGCTGAGCCTCTAGCCATCCTTGCCAAGGTCCCAGGTGTGGAAGCGAAGCCAATTTAAACCTTCTAGACCAGCCCAGACTCTAGCTAAAAAACCACTCGACGACCTTGTCGATGCCACTTGGGCAGATGAACTGACCAGCTGAGACTTGCCTGAATTCCTGACCCACGTTCTATTATTATAAAATCATGGTTGTTAAGCTGCTAAGCTTGATGTAGTTTGTTACAGGCAACAGACAGGTGGAAGTAGAGAGCGAGCATCTCCCACTAACTATCTCGAACAAACGGCCGGTCTTAGTCAGCCTGGACTGCTGTAACAACACCACAGGCTGGTGACTTCAACGACAGACATTTGTTTCTCACAGTTCTGGAGGCTGGAAGGTGTCAGCAGATTCGGTGTCTACTGAGGGCCCTCTTCCTGGTTTGCAGACGGCGCTTTCTTGCAGTGTCCTCACGTGGGTGGAATGAGGGTGAGGGAGCTCTCTGAGGTCTCTTTTACAAGAGCACCAAACCCATTCATAAGGCTTCCCCCTCATGACCTAATGACCTCCCAAAGACACTACCTTTCACTGGGGCCTTTAATTAATGCGATACCATCATACTGTGGGTTTCTATTTTAACATGTACATTTGGGGGTGATGTAAACATTCAGTCCATAAGATGGCCCCTGTGTTGGTGGGGCCCTCAAGCACCAAAAGCAGTGTAGAGTGTCCTCTGCATCATAGGTCGGCACTTGTCTTCACAATATCACTGCATGCAGACCTGAGAGAGCCTGGCGCAGCAGCCACGGGACATGTGGAATCCATCCTCATCCCAGGATGCTGGACAGGGAATGTATCGCAGGCAGAAAGTACTCTAAGTTTGCCCGAGAAATGAAGTCGAATGGCTCAGGGCTAAACTCCTTCAGGATCTGGACCTAAGTCTTATTTCCCAGACTTGACGGTGCCTTGGAATCACCTGAAGAGCTTTTAGAAAATATTGTTGCCTGGGCCCCACTCTCTGAGGCCTGAGCATTGAGATTTTTGTAAGGTCCCTGGATGGTGGTAGGGGAACGGTTCTCCATAGAGCCACATCATGGATTGGTTCATCTGCTCCATATGGGCTATCTTAAAAATATGTCCAAGATATGGCATTGCAGGGTAAGGTAGCAAAACAGAATATTAGAATCTCATTTGTATTAAAATGTTAAAAAGAGAGCATATGTATATGGATAAAAATTATGCAAAGCAAACTAGAAAGTCTTGGTACCTAGGGTAGGAGGGTAGTGAAGGAAGTGCTGTTTTGTGTTGTTATTAATTCCATTTGTTATTTCTCCAATGAGTTTTAAATTGTCGCTGCAGTGTGGTGCATCCATAGCTGCCTGGAACTTCAGGGTAGGGCACCTTGGTCAGTCCCACCCACCCCAGGCATGCTACCATCCAATGGGCTTTGGTTTTATAAATGACTCCTCCCATCCAACCTGTGCCTGAGGACTTAGAAGCTGAAAGGGGTATAAGCAGACACTGGCTTCCAGGGCTGCCAGGGCAGAGTGATTAGTGATATAGACATCACTCTGCACTGGCAGCTTAGTGGGCACTGAGCACACACCAGGAGCTGAAGTGGGGCAGGAGGACAGGCAGCAGGTGGAGTCTTCCAGGTGTAACTGAGGCCAAGTATGGGCAGGGGGGCTGCTTGTGTGTAAATCGATTGTGCCAAACTAGCTATCTGAATACAGGTGTGTGTTTGGTGGTCAGGGACGTCCAGTACCTCCTAGCTCAGCCAGGAGATCTACAACCCTTGTAAACCTCATTCCTCCTTAGCAATACAAGATAGCACTGCTCATTTGTGGGGAGGAGGCTGAGATAATGAGGAGCAGCTCGTATATAATGTGAAGCCTGGCTGTACACAAATGAGAGATGATAGGGGCCAAGCACCACTTACCTCTGCGATTAACAGGGTCCTTAGCCACATATGCAACATAATCAGTTGTGTCCTGTTAAAGAAAAAAGAGATATCTGTATCACTAATCACAAGTGAGACACCCCACAGTCAGGGACACAAGGCATGAACCAGAGAGTTTAGAGGGACTCAACTACCTCATAGCTGAAGAATCAAATGCTGCCTAAGGAACTGCCCACAGAAGACTCAAGCTATATAATGTGAGTAGCAACCACCCAGACATTGCAACCACATTGCAGACTTTGACTCAGCAGGTCTAGGTAGGGTCTGAGGCCCTGCACTTCTAACCAGCTCCCATGTATACTGAAGCTTCAGTGTCTCAGTATCCACGGGAGCTGGTTAGGAGGGCATTCACATTTTGAGCAGCAGGGAGAAAAGGCATGTTGGATCACCTGAGACACTTCAGAAACACTGATTCCTGTGTCCCAATGTGCAGATAATCTGATTTAATTGGTTTGGATGTGAGGCCTTCGCATTAGTTTTTAGATGCTCCCTAGATGACTATAATGTGAACCAAAGTGGACAACCACTGCTTTCAGCTTTGTCTACACCAGTGGTTCTCCAATTTGAGCTGGTATCAGTATCCCCTGCAGGGCTTGTTAAAATAGAATGCTGAACCATGCCCAAGTTTCCAGTTTGGTAGTAGTTCCGGGGTAAGGGCTCAAAATTTGCATTTCTGACAAGTTTCTAGCTGCTGCTGGTCTGGGAGCCACACTTTGAGTACTAGGCTAGAAGAAAACCAGAGTGGATATTTAAAGGCTGACTGCCAACACTGCCTTCATGGTGGATGAGATGTAATGGTTCTTTTCTTCTTGGACATAGTGATCTTCATCCTTTAATATGTTTTTAAAATATGAGCCCTATTTAGAGGTCTCATCCTTGTTTATGAAATATGAGTTTCTTTGCCTGCCTTATGTGCGTAGGGGAAAGGATGACCTCAAAAGTAGACCAAGGCAGCCATGTCCATTTTAATTCCTAAACAAATAAGCAGAGGAAACGATAATTCTCTTGAAAGCAGAAAGGACTCCTCTGCAAAGTTGATATTTTCAACATTCAAAATCCATGGGGCAACTGGTAAAAGTCTACCCCATTCAGGCAGGCATTTCCAAGATGCCATCGCTTTGAAGGGTTTTCAGGTTATTGATACACTCCTGATATTGCGAGAACCGAAAAGCCTCTGTCATGACTTCCTCCATTGTTTTTTCTGTGGGCAAAGGAGACATCCCTTTCTCTCTAAACAGTGCCCTACAAACCTCTCCAAGGAGAGAGGGATGAGGGAGAGAGTGAGTATGGGGCAGGCATGTCACTGTTGTGGACTACTTGGCCAAACTGGTTTCTGGTCATTTCCATCAAGGAGGGTCTAGTCAGAATCTGAAGTTATTGGCAAAAACAAGGGTGACAGCTTGTACTCATAGACACTTCCTGAATTCATGAGACGTGAATGTCAGAAGGATCCTTAGAGAGCATCTAAGAGAGCACCAGTGTTTCTCAAGCTGAAACCCGTGAAACCCTAGGGTTGGATAGGTGTCTTCTCCAGGGTTTGAGATGTTACCAGCATTTTTTTTTAATTTTTATTTTAATTTCCATGATTATCTTAAAAATTAACACAGGAATATCTGGGATCATTTAGATGATCTCTGTGTTATCAAGTTCTGCACCCAATTTCAATGCCAGGATTTGCAGTCGGGCTTCCAACATTATGAGTGCCAGGTTTTCAAAGAATTAGAAAGAAAAGGACACAGGGAGATTCCTTTGCCCACATAAAGCAAATTGACGTTACATTTGTACATGATGTGCAACTGAGGTTTTCACTTGAATAGAAAAAAATCAGTGGAAGAACTGAGTCATCCAGGTGCCCACGGTAATGGAGAGACATTGAACTTAAAAAATTCTGCCCCATGGTGGCCAGGCCAGCATCATATTGAGAATGGAGACTTAGTTTCAGCGAACTTTGTCCATGATAGCAAAGTAATATTACATTGAATGTCATTGGCCTTACAATGTTTACTTCTATTTAACTTTCATTTTAAGTAGGGTTTAGAGTTAAATAAAAAGTATAAACATAAGAAGTTTATTTTTAATTTATTTTTACACATATTCAGGTAACAAAATTAGAGTCAACGTTAGTAATGAATACAAGGACTTTTTTTTTTACATTCTTACTCTGGCTCAAAGTGGGGACGGAGGGAGAATAGAGAGACATAATATATCCCTGTCTCTCAGATGGTCAATGGCCAAGCTTTTTTGATGCCAATATTCACCTTTTTCTGGCAGAGCAGGCAAATATATTAGCATTCAAAACAATGTTTTTGTCATCTTAGCACTCTAAGTTCCAAGGACAGAGCTGCAAAGTGCTGTTCTGTGTCTATGCTATCCCTGGTCCCACTCCCCAAGGCCCTCTGAGCCTGGCCATTGTTCTGGCATTCTTGTGGTGGTCTTTTAACACTGCTAATTACAGTAGGTTATGCCCTTTTTAGAGGGGAATTAATAACATTTTCTCATCTATCTTGTTTGCCATTTCAAAATACCATTTTCCTACTGGGTAAACTGAAGCATTAAGCAATAGGTGACTGTACACTTAGCAAGAGAACAAGGACTGGAACATAGACTTGTCAGCTTTATTAAAATGTCTACCAGTTATGTGCTAAATTCGTGGTTACAAATCAATTTGGAATGGAATCTCATGCACAATACAAAACGCATTTGAATTTGTTTAAATGGAAAGTAACTAGGCTTCCCATCCTGTGTTATGACATTTTATAAACCAGAAAAAAGAAATCACAGAAAATATAAAAGGTTGTGGATTACTTTAAAGAGTACTAAATGTTTCCAATTTTTTAAAAATAAGAGGTGATGAGGATATCTGAAAAAAAAATGTATAGTCCTGTTTACATCCTGAAAATAAAATAGTTAGTTTGACACAAACCAGTGTATTTGGCTTCCAACAATCTAGATATTTGTGTCTTCACTCATAATATCAACATTAAAACAGGTTTAAGAAAAGCTCTTGAAGGAAGCTATTAATGCAGATATACAAGACATCTGCCTTTTATCTGTTACTCTGCGTCATCCTCCAAATTTAAGAAACAATAGTTCCAAACATCACAAGGGGCAAGCAATTAGACAACTACTGCAAATTAGGTAGCAAACAGACAGACAAATACACATAGACAGCATCTGAAGAAATGCTCCTTGGGCCCAGTACAGTGGCTCATGCCTATAATCCCAGCACTTTGGGAGGCGGAGGCAGGTGGATCACTTGAGCCCAGGAGTTTGAGAACAGTCTGGGCAACATGGTGAAACCCTATCTCTATTAAAAATACAAAAAATTAGATGGGCATAGAAGCATTTGCCTGTAGTCCCAGCTACCCATGAGGCTGAGGTGGAAGATCACTTGAGCCCAGGAAGTCAAGGCTGCAGCGAGCTGTGATGGTGCCACTGCATTCCAGCCTGGGTAGCAGAGTGAGCCCTTGTTGGATGAGTTCAACTGGGGAAGACTTCCACTTTCTAAATATGCATCTCAATGAGGACTTTCATCTTACAATACAATGTAAGAAATGATATGGATTAGAAAGGAAAGGCATAACAAGGGAAGAGAAGAAAAAAAAAAAAGAAGGGAAAGGCATTGTGGCTGACTTTTGACAAGAAGACCCTAAGTATGAAAAAGGGCCCAAGCCACTTGACCCTATGGAATGGCACAGCCTCAGGGCTAAACAGTGCTCTGACCATCCTTTGACAATTTAGCAGAGATATAAGGGTAAAGAACTGTCTGTTTGGTGGGCAAATCCTTTCCCTGCAGAGGGCCCTTGGCTTAAGGGTCTGAGATGGGATTGCCGACAAGCAACGGGGTCCCAGCCTCTCACGGCAGCTCATGCCGGCCCAGGCAGGAGTGACGCCCAGCATGGCCATGATATTCACCTCTAGCAGCTGCCCCAGCAGGGCAGGAAGAAGTACTGCTTCCCTGATGCTGAGATTGGTGGCCTGATTGTACTGTTCTTTGGAAATGTCAAGGATCTGGAGTCTACCTTTCAAGTTGCTCCTTCAATTTGGCTTCCAATATACCAACAGCAATTTTCTAATCCAGTTTCCAAAATAGAAGGGATATGAAAAGAAAGGTAGAAAAGTCACAGGGAAAAGCCCCTTCTTGGGCTAGAAAAAGACAGGGTCCCCAACCTTGAGATGAAGAGATCTTGGACCAGTAAACTTTTACATAACATCTGAAAATTGTCTACTCGTAATTTGGCTAAAGAATGCAAAACACCAGGACATTATTTTATATTAAAAGCCTTTTTTAACACTAAAAAAGTAAAAAGAATGTCTTTTTAGGATATAAGATAATTTTTCAATTGAATAAATTCAGCTCCAGGAAAAACTCACTTTATTACCTTAATTTTACAACTTTTCTCCGAACTGGTGGAAACTACCTAGATGCATGAAAATTCAGATGAGAACATTCTGGAGGGTGAGCCTTCCTCTCCCTCACTTCTGGAAAGGGCTGACTTTGCTTTCTTCCCTTCCCCCTCTGTGCCTCGCTCCTTTGTGACCAATTTCCTGTCTGGTTTCTTTGCAGGCCTGGGCTGTCCACAGTGATGGATTCCGCCCTGCCCCGGGAGCAGGAGGTGGTTTTCTGAGTTCACCTTCGTAACAGTACAGTTTAGGTGACATGGCCACTCTGGAGCTGAATGCTGACATCCTATTGTAACATTCCTGCCCAAACGTGGGAAACAAATTCCCTTGTTATTCCACCTTCTTCTTTAAAGATATGAAGCAAAAATAGAACATTCTCATTCTGTTCTCAAGTCTCCCTCTTACTCTCGCTCTGCAACTCCCTCCTTGTTGGCAAAGCAAACTATTAAAGGCTACGGTTTTACACTTGGAGAGAAAAATGCTGATTTTAAGTGGCTATGAATAAAGCAGACTAAGTAAATTCACGTTCTTCAGGCAGACAAAATATTAATATGGAGATCAAATAAACAAAAGGTAGGGTGAGGGCAGAGTGAGCGTGAGAAGCCCTTGGCAAGTCTCAGGCCTGGGGGCTGTTTCATCACCTTGGAAAAATGCCAATGCTTCCAGAATTTTCAACAGCTTTTGGCTAATGAAATGAAAACTAATGTAGGGTCCGTGTCCCAGGTTACCCCTAAATATAAAATGATAGCCAAGAAGACCTTTTATGGAAATCAGGAGGGGGAGATTAGTTGGCATCACAATTAACTTTTTTTAACAGTGTCTTGCAAGGCACATTTTTGAAGCAGGGATCCCTTCTCAGAAATTCTCAACAAGAGCAAGAGTATCCCAAGGGTACTTACCGGGTCTCCTCCAGAGGCGAAGGAGATGGACCGCATGTGGTGATTCGCTATGATCTGCCAGGCCCAAAACAAGAAACAAGAACGTGCTGTTATCGCCCTTTGCATATTTTGGAAAAGCAACTATCTGTTGGCATTACAAATTGACATGTTTTCCTGAAAATTGGCACCTATATAAAAATAACAATTATAAAAGTAATAACAATCGATCACTTTTCACAATCTGATGGTTGCTGTCCAGCTGCTTGCCAGAACAGTGTCCGCGAAGCCTCGCTGCAGCCTGTGATGTGGGAACTATCATCCCACTTTACAGGTGAGGAGCCAGAGCCCAGAGGAGCCACGTGGTTTGCTCAAATTAAGACAGCTGGTGATCAGCAGAGCTATGGTCTAACACAGGAGGCACATAGAGCACCCTTAACATAAGTGACTCCATCTTAGAAGACTCCATCTCACATTTTAAAAGGCAACATCCCAACAGGTACCAGATGTTTACCTAATTTATAAAGAAAGCACCCAACAAGAGAAGGACATGAAAAGGCATATTCTTATTATCAGTCCACACCAGAGGACTCTGGTCATAAAAAGCAAGCCTTCACCAGCTTGAAACAGTCTTCTTAAGAGACACCACCATGCTGTCACTGTGATGAGCACCCAGCACCTGCCAACGAAGGCTCTGCCCACATCAAAGACTCTTTTTGAAAGACATTGTTGTCCATCTGGATCAAGCCAGGACACTCTCTTTGTCCATGTCATTTGCCGTGGATTGGTTTATTAATCCCTACTCCTTTCCCTTTTTCTCTTGATGTTAAATGTTATGTGGTTTGATGTGGAATGTCTAACCTGTAACATTTATATACTGATTGAGTATACTCTTATGTATGGTTTACAGTATTGACTGACCTGTGGTGTGGCTTGAGCCTATGTGCCCACAGCTCTGATATGGAGTGAACTCCATGTAGCTCATGGTTTTTATGATTAAAATAGCAGTAATAAAAGTCTGACCTTGTGGAAAGACACAAATGTGCATGGACCTGATTATGTCTGACCTTGAGTCACTTATGAGAGGGAGGTCCAAGCTGAGGCCAGGGTCTTAACAACCATGCCTCTTCCAGAAAGAAACTGTCTCACTCACACACCAAAACATCACACCTTATAGATTCTGTTTCCAAAAACACACTGGGGTCTCCGATACAGAACCTGCAGCTAGAATGGGAGGAAATGTGGCCCATCTTCCATTTTATCCCATTTGTATCATGTGCATATAAATTGGAAAGCTGGCATCCAAGATTCCAACTTGGCTCCATCTAAAGCACTCTTGTAATTTATCAATTTAAAAACCAGAGTGGACAATCTATGTTAATTTTAAAATTGGAAATTTCCATTAGCTTTATAAACTGCAGAGTACAGTGGAATTTAGTAGACACTGAGTAAATTAGAAGCTGCCCTAAATTTAAAAAGCTACATAAGTCATCCGTGCTAATTTTATCTTTTTAAAGACAATGAAACGACACTGAAGTAAATTTTGGGGGGTGGGAACAGAGCCCCCTTCCATCCCAACACAACCGGGTGTAGTTCTGCAGAGTCCCCTCAGGCTCTTGTCCTCAGGTAGGCAGTCAGAATTTACACAGCTGTAATAAAACGTCCCAGGGATTTGTCCAAACAAGCTGCTGTGAAATGTGAAATAAAATATAACTGAATTATAATAGAAAATAAGACAGTTTTAAATGCCTACTTTGGTTATTGGCACTTACAAAACCTCAGGATCTAGAAAACCCTGAGTATATAAGTGAACAGAAAATGAGGCTGGCCACATAGGCTGCACCCAAGCCCCAGCTGAGTTAAACTAAAAATAGTGGCCTTTGTGACTCTCTGGAATCTTCCCTCTGGCGCTAAGGTAAAGGGTTCCTAAGATAGCAATCACCAGAAAATGATCAACTATGGCTCCCAAAATTTTACATTTTTGCTTACTTAACTTTTGCTTATAAGGCAGGTCTAAAACTGGGAGTTTAGAAATTAAATTGGAAACTATGATTTGGGAAAAAAATAATAAAAGTCATATTAGGTCGACGTGATGCATGAGCCTTATTGTGTGATTGTATGTTGTCTTGTTGGGTAAGACAGAAATTGAAAGCCAGAGTAAGAAAATTAGAGCTAATTGACCTAAATCACGTGCTTTGCCCTGAGAGCCTTGCATCTCATTTCAACTCTGCAGAGGGAAGTGGCGGTTGTCTTGCTGCTGTCTCTCTGGATGGAGAAGGTGTTGTAACCCAGTGAGTGCAAAATCACCACCAAGACAAAGACTAGGCCAAATTACAGGGTCTTTACTGCTGGCGGCCAAGGAGGACTCACGTCTCTCTAACCTATGGTCCCAAAAGGAGGGTGTCAAGAACTTTTATGCCCATAAACCACCTCCTGGGTGAGGGTGAGGGGCTTTGGACATTCCGAGGGCCAGGGAACTTTGGACATCCCATAAACCATCTCCTGGGCGGGGGTGAAGGTGAGCGGCTTTAGACATTTCGATTGTTACTTTAGTGGTTCACAGAAGGCAAGATAAGCGTTAGTTTACACATTGTCTGGGTAGGGTGGAAATTACAGACCTTAGTTACTAATTACAAGTCGCAGGGGCCAAGATGGAGTGGGTTTGGACTGCTTGTCTGTCACATTAGGGTCACAGAGAGCAGTTTCACGGGAAAGCTGAGGTATGGTTGAGGTATGCAGTTTATGGGACAATTACCATGTCACAAAGAGAGTGTATAGCCAGGCTGTTCTCAATTTGCTACAGTTGGACCCAAAAGTCAGCCAGAAGGGAGAGCCAAAACCCTGTGTGCTTGCCCTCACCTAACCTTCACACACTTATCAACAAAACCTCAAGTCACCTGGGTGTCCAGAACCTGCCACTTCGTCCCATCCACCCAAACCAAGGGCAGAAAAGCAAACTGGACTCTCGCTTCGGCTGCCATGTTTCAGAACAGAAAGGGCCAACCCAGTGCCTCACCCGACTGCTCTCAGTTTGCTTTCTATTTTACCACGTGGGGGAAGGCAAGTTCAGGGAGAAGATCCCACAGATTTAAGAAGTCTGAGGACCAAACAAAAGGTCCAGGAGACATAGAAAAGGAACAGCTCCAGGCACGAAGGAGAAGGCAGAGGTGAGCCTAGCCCACAGGCCTTCATGAACAGCTCAGCCTCAGACTGTGCTAGAGAAAGAATCCATAACCTCCAGAGCTGGTGAGCTAGTCTCTTAGACAAGTTAAGATAAAAAGACACAAGGAATTATCTATCAGTCCTGTGAAGATAAAAGGAGCCAGAGCGAAGTGGTATCTAGTTATGTCAACACAAAGCCTGGGCTTTGCTTCCCATTTCTGTGCTAGAGCTAGGATTTATTTCATCATCTTGGGTGGCAAGTGGAGGAATAAATTAAGCTGGAGACGCTGCTCACTAACCTGGGGAATATGGAAGTCAATCAATAGAAGTATGTATAGTAACATAAAGGTTACTGCAGGCATCCCTGCTGACAATGGTCAGAATTAGGTGGAGTATTATATAGAGAGGTCCCACCCGAGCTCCAGCTCCTACTGCCAGCCCCAGAAACTGAGCCAGAGCAGAGCAAGGGAGGGGAGTTCACACTCCACACTCCCCTGGATACTGCACAAGCATTTTACCTCCTGCACCTCATTTGACCTTCAAATGTGCCTTTTTGGTAGCTAGAATAGCTACTCAAACACCCATTTTTCCAGCTAAAGAAATTAATGATGACTAGATAAATCTAAAAGATAGACACTATGCAGGAATGCAACCATCCTTAATAAAATTAAACTTAATTTAACACTGTGGCTGTGGTGCCTCAGTCAGCTCCAAACGAATTCCACACTGGCTATTCCATAGACAATACCACTTCTCATCACCCCCACAACACTATGTACTACAAGAGTCTCCAAAACGATGAGCCACTAAAGGAGAAAAAAGATCATCAATTAGACCACAACATGCGGTCCACTCCAAAGGCTATAAATAAAATGTGGCCTGTCAGGCCTATTAAATATGGTATAAAAGAAAAAAATCAGGGCAAGGACATTAAGAAGAGACTTTGCACACACATAATTTTTTTTTTTTTACATTGCAAGGACATCAATGATTTCATGCATTATCCTCCCCAAAAAAAAAAGCAGAGTTAAAGAGAGCCAATTTTATTTATGCTTCTTTTGGTGACCCTTCAATGTGGCCAAAGTTCATAGACTAGTAAAAATTTGAGGCAAACATATGCTATGTGAGTTCACTAAAGCTACAAGGAGGACACCTGCAAAACACTCATCACCAGGACTGTGGGCAGGGTCCCTACAGGAGATCTGAGCACCCACATACCTGTTTGGAGTCTGGAGTTCGCAGGTTCAGACTGGCAGTGGAGATGGTCAGAGAGATGCTCATTCCCGCAAACTGGAGGTTGCTCTTTCCCAAGATGCTGGACAGCATTTTGCTTGGAGGCTGTGAAATTAAAGAGCATTATTTTAGCTGTTTGACTTCCATCTCAAAAGGTGGGGATGTAGATGCTTGCCATACCTGCAAACTCTCACTGACTGTTCTTCCCTCCTTAGGCATAGGAAGACAAAATGTAAAATGAATAAGCGGGGAGTGTCTGAAGCAAATATGCAAATTTTAGAATATGCAATATACAAATTGTAAATCATATAATATGCAAATGCTGAGGTGAGAACTCTTGCAGGCAGGCAGAGGTATCTGTCTCCCAGGCCTTTTCTCTGGCCCTGTTGGGAAGTGTCTCATGGGGGAGCCCTTGTATGTAAACCTGGGGAAAGCCCACTCGCATTTTGCAGGCTCAGCAACCTGGTTTTATCACACCTACTTTAGAGGAAGAGTCAAACTAACTTAGAGGAAGATTAAAGCAGGCCAGCTCTAGGGAATTAGAAGCATCCCAGGGAGCTGCAAGGATGTTCCTGGCCCAAGGGAATGGACCACACATTTTTTGCTGCAAAACACTCTCCCTTGTCAAGCTTCTCAATGGACTGTCCTGTTAGAAACCCATGGGCCTAGAGCCACCACAAGGATAGATAGACATGGACTGTCTACCTGGTATATCCATTACCCTGTCAGAAATGTCCTGGCAGGGAACTGTCAGCTGTGTTTTCAGGCCAGGGACCTTCTTCCCTGGTACCTGGATGGCACTGCCTGGTACCTGGATGGCACCATCCTTTCTTTTTGGATTAGAACACTCTCTCTTTGGATATGCTAATTTGCTTCTAACCAGGTTCATACCCTTTTTAATCTCCTGAAGGAGCTATTTAAAAACAGTTAATGATCTTCTTCACAGAACTGGAAAAAACCACCTTAAACTTCATATGGAACCAAAAGAGAGCCCGCATAGCCAAGTCAATTCTAAGCAAAAAGAGCAAAGTGGGAGGCATCACACTACCAGACTTCAAACTATACTACAAGGCTACAGTAATCAAAACAGCATGGTACTGGTACCAAAACAGAGATATAGACCAATGGAACAGAACAGAGGCACCGGAGGAAACACAACATATCTACAATCATCCGATCTTTGACAAACCTGACAAAAACAAGCAATGAGGAAAGGATTTCCTATTTAATAAATGGTGTTGGGAAACTGGCTAGCCATGTGCAGAAAGCAGAAACTGGACCCCTTCCTGACACCTTACACTAAAATTAACTCCACATGGATTAAAGACTTAAACATAAGACCTAAGACCATAAAAACCCTGGAAGAAAATCTAGGCAAAACCATTCAGGACATAGGCATAGACAAGGACTTCATGACCAAAACACCAAAAGCATTGGCAACAAAAGCCAAAATAGACAAATGGGACCTAATCAAACTCCACAGCTTCTGCACGGCAAAAGAAACAGTCATTAGAGTGAATCGGCAACCAACAGAATGGGAAAAAATTTTTGCAGTTTACCCATCTGAGAAAGGGCTGATATCCAGAATTTACAAAGAACTAAAACAGATTTACAAGAAAAAAACACACAAGCCCATTCAAAAGTGGGCGAAGGATATGAACAGACAGTTTACAAAAGAAGACATACATGAGACCAACAAACATATGAAAAAATGCTCATCATCACTGGTCATTAGAGAAACGCAAATCAAAACCACATTGAGATACCATCTCACGCCAGTTAGAATGGTGATCATTAAAAAGTCAGGAAACAGATGCTGGAGAGGATGTGGAGAAATTGGAACACTTTTACACTGCTGGTGGGAGTGTAATTTAGTTCAACCATTGTGGAAGACAATATGGTGATTCCTCAAGGACCTAGAAATAGAAATTCCATTTGACCCAGCAATCCCATTACTGGGTATATATCCAGAGGATTATAAATCGTTCTACTATAAGGACACATGCATACGAATGTTCATTGCAGCACTGTTTACAATAGCAAAGACCTGGAACCAACCCGAATGCCCATCGATGATAGACTGGACAGGGAAAATGTGGCACATATACACATGGAATATTACGCAGCCATCAAAAGCAATGAGTTTGTGTCCTTTGTAGGGGAATGGATGAACCTGGAAACCGTCATTCTCAGCAAACTGACACAAGAACAGAAAATCAAACCCCGCATATTCTCACTCATGGGCAGGTGTTGAACAATGAGAACACATGGACATAGGGAGGGGAGCACTACACACTGAGGTGTGTTGGGGGGGAAAAGGAGAAGGACAGCGGGGGGTGGGGAGTTGGGAAGAAATAGCATGGGGAGAAATGCCAGATCTAGGTGAAGGGGAGGAAGGCAGCAAATCACACTGCCACGTGTGTACCTATGCAACACTCTTGCATGTTCTTCACATGTACCCCAAAACCTAAAATGCAATAAAATTAAAATTAAAAAAACAGAGATGCTTAGGCCCATGAGATTCTGGGTGGAGTCGGGAAATCAGCACTGTTTCCACCAAAAGAACCATGAGCATGTCCCAGGATGAGCTGGGACCCAGAAGATGAGATTCCCCATCTCTGTTCTCAGTCGCCGTCCTCATTCCTATAGTGGAGACTCTGAAGCCTTGCTTGGTTCCCCATGGACTGGCCAGAACACAAGCTGGCACATCTGAGTCTTCATTCAGCGTTCTCTGCTGGAAACCCAGCTGCCCTGTGGGTGCATGAAAGTCCCCAAGCTCTGAAGACAGAAACAAAATAGAGCTGTAGGGTCAGCAGAGTCAAGCATGCAGCTACCCAGATGATCTGGAATCAGGAACGTGCAGCCTCAGGCAGATTCGGAGGGTCTTTGAAGGACATTTTCTCCACAATTCAGGTTAGGCATAGAAATGCCTTGATTGCGGATATTCAGTTGAGTATTCACCAGACACTTAGCTGAAGAGGCTTTCATGGTTTCTCCTAAACCAGGGGCGTTTGTTGTTTTTAACCCCATCTGGCTCAAATATCTTCAGAATGCAAAGTCGTGGAGCAGTGTTTGAACATGAAGCCTGTGCTCTCAGACACCACCCACCTGCATGGTGCCCTTCCCCTCCACGTCACGGTTGTCCTCATCTGTAACACGGGGATATGCAGTGGTACTCTAGTGCTGGCTTGGCCCAGCTGATGGGAGCCAATTATCAAATGTTTCAGAATTTTATATTCTGGCCGTTAATCACAGCTATTATTAAAAATAAATATATGTAAACTTACAATTAAATAAATTACCTTTAAAAAACAGACAATAAATACTCAACACGCATCAGTTCCTAATTCTTTTGCTGCATTAACTACTAACTGCTTATCGAGTTATCTGTGCCCACAGTACCTGCATGGTGGAAACATTATATAACCACAAGCTACTACACATCTCTTCCCGACTCCATTTCCAAGGGATATGATTTTGAGAAATTGAAATCAGCTGCAATAGAAGTATTGTGACATCACAGAAATCGGAAAATGTTACTCTATTTCTCACTCCCCTGCTCAACCTGGAGAGGTTACCAGCACACCACTGGGGACATCTACCTCAGCTGTTGTAATTAAGTGAATTGACGTATTGAAAGTGCTTAAAGGAAAGCCCAACCCTGTTTTAAGTGTCTGTTGTTACCGTTGTCTTCAGAGTTTAAGCCACAGTGAGTGAGTAACCAGGGTGTCTACTTCTGGGACAGGGACAGCTAACCGTTCTCAACCACGTGAGTAAGAAAACAATCTAAGCCTTTTCTGCTCTTAGAAGTAGCAAGAGCCAGGCCACAGAAGGAGGACAATGAACAATTCTGTGTGACTGAAGACACGGAGTGTTGAAAAAGAGGAAGTAAAGGAGGAGACACAGTTAGACACAGAGCATTGAGGACAGTACCTTTCTCTTCTTGAAGGCTCCCTTGGCACCAGGCACAGCTTCACAGACACGGCTGATGGCTTCCCTTAGGACAGGAAGAAAAAGCCATTTTATCATGTGTCATTTGGGATTATGGACCCCAGAGATGCTATGCTTGCACATCCAAAGAAAATAACCGCCTGTTTATTTCAATATAGAAAAAGACCTGCCAGTTTGGGAGTCATTTAATTTTTCTTCTAAAACACAAAACTAAACGGCAGACAGGCCATCGTAAAAACTCTCCTGGCACTATTCTGGTTCTCTTTGTTGTGGTGGCTGGATGCTAATGGCGTCATCCGTGTCAATCCTACACTTTTTTCTACATTTTGCTAAGATTCTGTTTCTGTAAGGCAGCACTCTAAAATGTTCTCTTCCTGACACTGTGGTGCTCTCTATTTCCTTAGCTTTGTTCAGGACATCAGGCCCAAACCTAACCAACCACCTTGATTGATCAAGATCCTTCTTGAGTTAGAATGCAATTAAAAGAAATATGGTCATCTGAGTTTTATTCCCAGTTTCTGCTGTTAGTAAATCTTACAACATCAAGAGGGATTGGAAGGAGAAGAGGAACTGCAGGGTGTATAAAGGAGCCAGCAATGAGGTGATGTGCAGGGCAGTTCCACGGAACGGCGCTGGTGGGAATGCTGGGGTGTGCAGGTGTGGTCCTGGTGGAGGAGGCAGAGTGCCCCGGTGCTGAGGGGCCAGGGGGCAGGGGTCCAACACCTGGTTCTGCATGGGGGCAGGAGGGCCCCAGAGGGTGAGGAAGCAAGACAGGACGGTAGCAGCTGAGGGCTAGGGGTGGCAGGAAGGGGATGCAGGAGAGGAAACACAGCTCAACCTCATGAACCAGCCTAAGTGAGAAATGTCTGGGAGGTGGGCAAAGGTGGCTCCAAGTCAGGGGTCCAGAAAGGAGCTGGTGACCTTTCCCACTCATACATGGAGGGGAAAACACTAGTACATAGAGAAAAATCAACAGGGACTTGGAGACACGGTGAATCAGAGAAGATAACAGGTACCCAGAAACATTCTATAAACTTTCTAAGCTCCATACTTCTTCAAATTAATTTCTAATTTCTGAGTAGATGAAAAATAATCACCATAACAACACAGTGCTTTCAAAAGAAATATGTCCATATCAGTAAGTCGAGAGACTATTAGGATAAGCTTCCCATTTGCCACGCAATTCATTGTAGAGAGCAGGGAAGGAAACATTTTCCTAAAAGCTCAGATGCCAGGAAAACTGTAGGCAATGAATCATCATTACGTGGAAAAACTGAAGCAAGAAATGAATGTTTTTGATGTTTATGCTTACTCCTATTTATTTTATAATAATATTCTCACTGTGGTTCCATCAAAGTGACCAATCATGTACCATCTAATGTACTTTCTAAAAGCTAATTGCTTATTAAAGAAGGTCAAATTGTTTCTTTACAGAACTATATAAACCCATTATCTATGTTTTATCTGTTTAATTTTTAGAAAACCAGTTCAGTGAATCTCTGCATTGTATTTCTTATATTAAATGACATACTTAATTGATCAAGGCAGCTAAACCTCTGATGGTCCCAGCATGGCAGAAAGATACTATATGGGGAAGTGTCTCCCTTTAATCACTCCTTAAAAATCCCTAATAAGCACCATATTTATTTTACCATCCACCAACATGGAGTCTAAAAGAAAAAAAATCAGACTTTGAGTTATCCAAAAAGACACACCGTATCAAATGTCTCATCTAGTCAGGCCCTGGAGCTTCCAGCAGGACTCTGGGTCTCCTGTGCTCCTTTTGGGGAAGAGAGGTAGAAACTATGCATCACCAGTTAGAAGGAACTACGAAGCTCTGAAAACAGTCAACGCTTCTTCCCAATACCTTCTCACACAAAACAGAATGCATGGGACTCAGGGCACACTTGCAGATAGAAAGAAGTTCCAGATATTTCTCAGAGCTTGTGTACTGAGGGAAAATCCTAACGATCCCACTTGTGAGCCTTTAGAATCCCCGAAGGAGTTTTCAAATCAAACTGCTTTTTAGAAAAATGTTCTCTTTTCATCACTGGCATAAATTCCTTCCTAGGCTCCTATGATAACATGTGTGTGTGAATTCTCATTTCAACCACGGTGATGGTATCTATTTCTGTTTGAAATAGAAATGCAGCATAACTATTAATAACTGCAATATTTAGATGCCTGGAATGAGTTACTTTAACTCCAAAATCTAATTTTACATGTAACTATTCTCAACTCCCCTTCTTGCTGTTTAAGTGCAGTACATTTTGGTAAGCAGTAAAGTTTAAATTTGTTCGTTTAGCAATCATTATTTAGTTTTATATAATTCCACTTAATCCCCATTTGAGTCTCAGGTACCAATTTTGCCCTGTTTTTAATCACAGGATTGCTTCTCAACATTCTGTTCAGTACAACCCTGTTTCTGTGAGCCAAATCATGACCTCAGAGCTCCGCTAATATGAAAATGGGACATTTGGCAACTCTGTGGTCACTGAAAGTCATGGAAGCCAGCCCAACCCTAGATGTGAACACTAATTGTCCTCATGATTTCACCATCTTCCCTTCAGAACTGGACCCTTTGTAGGCACATAGTAGCATCTTTCTCTCTCCTCATCCATCTCACTACAGACATCCCAAGGCCCCACAAGGAGTGACCTATGTGACTGGCGTGGATCAACGCATATCAGTAGAGAAGGTGTTACCCACGAAGCAGCATTTGAGTGAGTGAGCAGCTACCCAGGAAAAACATTACACTGGGCTCCTATCTCTTGCCTTATATGCAAATAAATTATAAATGGGTCACAAATTCAATTCATTTATAATGAAAAAGGAGTAAAGAAAACTGGGAAGAACATTTTTTAATTATCTTAATGGAAAGATAATTAAAGTTATCTTTAAAATGATACAATATCCAGAAGCCATAAAAGAAAAACATTGACACACTCAATAGCATAAAAAATTATGCACAAGAAAATATGTAACATTTCGCAGTTGTCAAGGTAATTGTCTTAATAAAGTCAGCAAGGAAACTATCAAAAGCCCAAAAGAGGGTGGAACAAAGGATATGGATAAAGAGTTCCAGGAAAGGCAATACACATGGCTCTGAAAAATACAACGACAGACCCAACTTTACTTGTAACAAGAATGCAAATTAAAGCCTATACTGAAATTCAATTTTCATAGCCAAAGACCGAAGCTTTACAGCCCTTTGCAGGGAAACAGGCACCCTTCTCAGTGCGGTAATGCCCTCCCGCCCCCACGCCCTGTGTGAGTTTCTTGCCTTTTCTGAGAACCCTGAGACTGTAAGGTTCCAGCCTCTAAACCTCCCCTGCTCGTCTTCTCTTCCGGCCACTGTGTGACTGGGACCCTGAGTGAGTGTGTGCGGGTGCAAGAAGAATATCCCACGCCCCTGGTTCTTTCTAATTCCAAGCACTCAGTGGGCCCTGCTCTTCCCTGGGCTGGATGGAGCCTTGAATCTAATCCACTCACTTCCACACAAGAAAAAGTCTCCCATCACGTATGTGTGTCACCCCATTTATTTATTTTTAGTAATAAACATGTCCAGGCCCAGAAAAACAGTAAAAACCCTAAACTTCATGGAAACCTCTCCTCTTCCCTCCCTAAGGCCTGCCTAGGGAACCTCCAGGTGGCCACGGAAGAAAAGTGCCTCCTAACCTTCCAGCTGCAGCTCCTGACCCCTTGGTGGGGAAGGGATGACTATAGGGGGTGATTGTCACAGAGAGGTCAGGGGTGGCAAGGTGACACTGACAGCCTCAGTGCTGAACCCTCTGGCCAGGCTGGTAGTACCCTGCTGGGAAAGAGGCGACCCCTTGGTGCTCCTGGATGTCCTCCTGCCCTCATGCCCTGTGTGAGTTGCTTGTCTCCTCTGAGACTCTTTTTTTTTTTTTTTTTTGTGAGACAGAGTCTGGCTCTGTTGCCAGACTGGAGTGCAGTGGTGCAGTCTCAGCTCACTGCAGTCTCTGCCTCCCCGGTTGAAGCAATTCTCCCACCTCAGCCTTCTGAGTAGGTGGGGCCACAGGTGCACACCACCACGTCCAGCTAATTTTTGTACTTTTAGTAGAGACAGGGTTTCACCATGTTGGCTAGGATGGTCTCAGTCTCCTGACCTCATGATCCACTCACCTCCGTCTCCCAAAGTGCTTGGATTATAGGCGTGAGCCACTGCACCTGGCCTCCACAGAGACTCTTGAGACTAAATCTCCAGCCCCTAAGCTGTGGCAAGCACCTCCCCTCCAGGGCTCCACCCAACCTGTCTCCTCTCAGGGACACTTTCCTTTTTTCTTTGAAGACTCCTCCCCAGGAGCAGGGGGGTACCAATGGGTGAAATGGACAGTGTCTGCTCTTCACCCCACACATGCACTCCCTCCCAGCATCCACACCAGTGTAAAGCTTCTTGCTGTGAACATGGCTGCTGTCATCAGCAGAGAGCTGCCTGGGCCGCATAGGTACCCCTCCCTGGACCAGCACCTCTGCCAGGCTGCAGCAGGAGGGCGGTTTCTCCTCAAACACAGCCACTCCCACTGCATGCTTTTCTGTGTGAGTCGGACGTTGGTCCATGGGTCCACCCAGGCCCTGGTGGCACGTGTCAAAGTCCTGGTCATCTAAGCCCCTTACTGACTCTGAAGCCAGAGGGAACCATCGCTCTCCTCCACAGGAGGACTTAGAGGGCACTAAGAACTTGCTCTTACTCTCTTTATATCTTTGGAGCGAGGATTGGGCAAAGTGCAGCAAAACAGATGCTCACCCCTCTTCCCAAGCCCTTCATAGGAGGACCACCCCTCCCTTGAACGGTCGGAGTCCTGTGCCCCGTGAACTCCAGGCAAGCATAACCAGAATCCCGTTTTACCCTGAGGTTGCCTCCCACCCTCCTGTTTGAAGGGGCCTCTTGATCTCTGGCCTCCGAATGCTTCAGGAGCAGGCGGCTCACCCACCTTCCCCACTGGCCCACTGATCTCTAAGTATCAGAATTTTATACATAGATACCATACCCAATGGCTAGCTCCGCTTCAATGTCTTAAAATC